CATAAGAAATTGATAATAAAATAGTGTATGAAGCCAATATCTGAGCCAGATACATCAATTAAGAAAAAGGAAATAAATGCACGAAATCCATATCTGAACCCAAAACTTCAACTATAAATAGAGGCCTAACCTAACCAAACCAATTCACTTTGAATCCTCAATAATTCTCCACCACTCTTCTTCTCCTCTACACACTCTCTCTCTCCTCACTTCAAAATTTTATTTTTTATTATTATCTTTCTTTGGTTACCAACCGCTTCTCTTCCCCAAATTGTAGAAGTCACCAAACACGAAGACTAGGTAATCCTAATCTCTAGGTGGTTGTAGATTTGTTGTGTATGAAATTTTATTGGGTGTATCCTAATCTTTAGGTAGTTATATGTAATCCTAATCCCTATGTTCTCTTAGGATACTTTATATATATGAAATACATTGTATGTAATCCTAATCCCTAGGGAGTTATAGGTTATATTTACATGTAATTTGGTATATGTAATCCTAGTCCCTAGAAATAGGTTAATTATATGAATATTATTGGGTTTAATTTTTATTTTTATTTTGATTAATTATATTGTTGGGAATTTTAATCCTCTAGAAAATATCAGAATTAATTGTGTAATTATTTATATTTGAATAATGGATTTGGAAGTTTTGATATTCTTGGATAAATGATTTGAAAATTATAATGGATTTGAAAATTATGATATTATTGAAAGATTGAATTTTGAAATTATAATCTTGATTAAATTGATGTGGAAATCATGAAAACTATTTGACAATTATGAGAATCGTGACAAGATTGAATTGATTGTATGTGATTGAATAAATTAATAGTGGGAGGATAGCTTTGGGATGGTACCTCCCAAGGTGATGAACACAACTTTTGGGCTTTATGCCTCCGATGTGAAACTAATGTGAAAAAGATTATATCCGTTCTTCCCAAAGTGGTATCTGGTAACAGTGCTTTTTTCCTGAGGTACTAGTAGCAACTTTGGGAAGAGGTGTGCACACTAGGAAGATGTGAATTGATTATGGTCAATTTTGATTATACGTGGCTGGTAACAGTTGTTATTTCCTGGGTCACGGGGTAGAGTGGCAGGGTTTCCCGGGTCTACCATGGTTCTCTTCCCACTAAGTACAATGAACTTAAACATGATTAACAATTAAATGTTATTTGATTTAATTATGATGAATGTCATTGAATTATGAATATTACCATTTATGTAATATTATGATTAATGTTGTGCTAAATATGTTAGTTGATAATTGCCCTTTCTAAATACACTAAATGGATTAAATAAAGATTAATATAATTAATAACAAGTTGGTATTTGATTTGAATTTTTGAGTTATATTATTTTATTGGATTGTTATGAGTTACATTTTTATTTGTTTATTTATTTATTTATTTTTGTATATCGAATTTGGATTACCAGCTTTGTTGACTTTTGTGTTTGTTTGACTGCAATGATCCTGCGTGGCTGCGGGGAAGCAGAGTTTCAGTGAATCAAGTTACAAAGGATCGGGCTAGCAGTGGGCAGTGAGGATAACTACTCAGAGATTTTTGCTAATCCTAAATTTTATGTATAAGACATATTTCTGATTTTATTGTAATATTTATGAATGTAATAAAGAGCCTTGCAGTTGTCCCTGTACAGGTGCGGCGGTAACATTTTCCCAAATTAGTTTTAGATTAGCTTCCGCAATATTTCTATTATTATAATTGTAAAAAAAAAATGAATTTTGACAATTTATTTATTATAAGATTGTTTTATAAATTGTTAGAAATTTTGGGTGTTACATTGAGTCACGTTGAGGGTGCCACTCCTCTTACTGGGGTGATGGAACCCTCCTTGGAGCTTGCTGAGGATCGAGACGTGATTGACCGTCGGCTTAATGCTTTCCGTAAGCATAAGTCACCTACCTTCAATGGATCGTATGATCCTATTGCTGCGGCGAGATGGCTTCAGGCGCTGGACAAGATTTTCCGTGTGATGCACTGTACTGATCCACAGAAGCTGATGTTCGCCACATATATGCTGGAGGGCGATGCCCATAAGTGGTGGATGAACACCTCTCATGCTTTTGAGATGCAGGGTCATGTTATGACATGGCCATTCTTCGAGGATTGCTTTCTGGGTCGATATTTCCCTTATGATGCGGAGGAGAGGAAGCAGGGGGAGTTTGATAGATTGGTGCAGGGCTCGATGTCTGTTGACGAATACCTGGCGAAGTTTAATGAGCTGGTTAAATTCACTCACTTTCGGATGGAGAGGCCTACTCCGATGTTCTTGGATGCTAAGTTCCGCAGGGGACATAATGAGGATGTTGCTGGTTACCTCGCTGGTTCTGCTTCGAGAGACTTCGGAACACTGGTGCAACAATGTCGGGACATCGAGGACTTCTACAACTCAAGTAAGGCCAAGAGGGCCAAGATTGCTGAGACGAAAGGAACGAGTAGTTCCACTTCTTGGAAGGACAGGAAGTTTGCTGGAAAAGGAAAAGGAGAGCAGTTGGCTGCTAAGCAAGCGCCTAGTCAGTTCAAGAGGACTTCTTCGCAGCAGAGTGGTTTTGCTAGGCCTCCTTCAACTCCTAGGTGTTCGAGGTGCGGGAAGGAACATGCAGGACGTTGTGCTACCGGCCAGTTGATCTGTTTTCACTGTGGCAAGGAGGGCCACTATTCTCGAGACTGTCTGTCGTCGACGGCGAGAGCAGCAGCGATTCAGGCAGTTCCGTTACAGATGATTCCTTTGGCTGCTACTTCGGCACCTGCAGTGCCACCTGCTACTGGACGTGTGTATACGTTGGATCGTCAGCAGTCGGGCTGAGCTCCGAACCTTGTCAGAGATACTGTTTCCATTGGTGGAATTACTGTTGATGTTTTGTTTGATTCCGGGGATACACATTCTTTATTGCAACCCCGATTGTTGTGAGGCTTGAGTTGCCCATGTTTGTGCTTTCTCCACCGTGCGGTTGACCACCGCCACCGGAGAAAAGTGAGATTCTACCACTGTGCATCAAGATGTCGTGTTTCAGTGGAATGGCCGTGATTACTCGGTAGATCTGATTAGATTGCCGATGGCTAATCTGGAAATCATTTCGAGCAGGGATTGGTTGTCCAGAAACTGTGTGATGATTGATTGTTGTGCCTAGTGAGTGGTGATGTCTCCGTGTGATTCCACAGCCAGTTCCTCGCCTTTTTTTTTTCTACAGGCTAGGAGAACCTTGTGAGCAGGGACATTGGTTATGTCATGTTGGGAGGTTTGGTAAGTGGGACACAGGAGGATCTCACTGGCATTCCTGTGGTGAAGGAATTCCTCGAGGTGCTTCCTGAGGAGATTCCTGAGTGTCCGCCACAGTGGGAGATATCGTTCTCCATTGAATTGTTGCCTGGTGTGGGGCCTTGTTATTAGCTCCATACCAGATGTCGCCACCAGAGTTGGCTGAGTTGAAGTAGCGTTCTGAGGGTCTTTCGGCGAAAGACTTAATCCGACTAAGCGTGTCTCCATGGGAAGCACCGGTCATGTTGTTATTGAGGCAAGATGCCTTACGCCATTACTTAAGCGTGATGGTGCTCTGTTTGAGGATGTGAAATTCTCTTAAGGGAAAGTCTAACACTTAGGACTTTGTGGCAAGGCCACACACGATCTTTTATATGCGAGGCAATGCATGTACATGTAGCTTGGGGGTTGAGTGGTCTCCATGACTCTAGGTTCTCTTGTTGATTATAGATATGCTTCATAAGTAGTTGGTATGTTAACACCATGGGTAGTGTAAAGCATGACATGAGTACGATAAACTGTGGTAATACATCAATGTTATTTCACCTTTAATTGACTCTCGATTTTGCATATGCCATGGAGATTGAGGTATACTGTTGCATTGAGTTTTTTTATTTATTTATAACATTTGGGATATGTTTTTTACTTTATTTACATAGTATAAATAAAAAAGGTCATTATATTTATTTTAAGATGTTAAATAAATTATTTTATGTCATGAAAAATATTTATTATTTATTTAAAAAATTAAGTTATATTGTAATTGCAATTTGATAACTTCTTAAAAACACCATATACTAACTGAATTTTTATTTTTCTTATGTTATCACATTTTTAAAAAAAAAATAACGTATTTTATATTAGTATTATTAATATAAAAAAATTAATTTATCCCATTAGTAAAATATGCATGAATTAAATAAAAATATATTTAAATATTCTCTCTTAGTTCAGGAGAGAATTCGATCATGGGCCGAACACATTGTAAGGTTTAAAATTGCGTAATCTCGGTATTTTTTTCATAGCTTTACTATCATATCATATCATCTCACAGAAATTTATTTAAACATTATTATTATTAGAACTTAAAATAAAAAATATAAATATAAGAAAATTTCATTTTTATAGCATTTTATTATTAAAATTTTATACAATAAAGTATCTACCTAATTTTTTTAATTTATTTAAAATAAATACACTTCAATTGCTATTTTAAAAAAAAAAATGTTGAAAAGGATAAAAATCAGGAAAATGTAAATGAAATAAATGGAAAATTGATAATTGAAATAACATAATTATATAATACAAAAGAAAGAAAATGAAAATTTTCTAAAATTTGATGTTTGATCCGAGTGAATGAAATGTAACGGTTGGAGCTGTGGACTAGTGATGTCCATGGGGAAAATAACCGTAAGTGGTGGCAAATTACTACGCACTACGAGGAAACTGAAAGCAAAATAGGGTGTGATATGTGGTGGCAGAGAGGATGATACTTGGATTTTAAAACACTAAAATATGCAGTTACTTACAAATTTATTATATAATAGTAATATGGTTTCCCTTATACTGTACTTAGACCTGGGTATAAATTATAATCATACCAATACTTGGCACTCGATGACCTATTCAGAAGTCCTGGTATTTCATCTACATTTTACTATCAATATAGTTCTTTACTATAGCAATATTCTTCATTTGGTATGCTAAGATGAAAGCCTCACAAAATATCTAAAATTCATAAAATCAATAACACGTTCACAAGAGCAAAATTGCAGGAAGGAACATCTCAGGCACAATCTGTTGCCTAACAAAATTACGTTCATCATTTGTCTGTTACCAAGAAAATTATCAGTGCAACTATTGGGACCCAACTCACAAAAAAAAAAAAAAAAAAAAGTGAGAAGCATATGAGAACAAGTGTAACACCCTTGCTTCCCCTAGAAGACTAGTTCATGTGGCTTCATGCCTGCCTTCAGGGAAAACCTAGCACCCAGATAAGTCTTCAAATCAGGAACACCCTCAATGGCTTTTATCAACGCAGAGTCCACTGTTTTCTGGTCATCTTTCTTCTCCTGGGGCAACACATGTTTCTCCTGCATTAGGAAAAAGAAGGCAGAGCGATCAGCACATAGAAACATTTGAGAATATAACATGTAAAACATTAACAAAATAAGAAAATTGAAAACCCCACCTCCTTCTCTGCCTCAAAGAACTCGCCTTCTCCCTTCTTCTTCTTTTTCTGGGCTTCCTTTGCAAAGTACTTGTCATCAAATTTATCCACATTAACAGCAGAGACATCTACTTTGGTTGATGTGCCAATAACATAAGACTGATTCACACGTCTCAAAGGAACTCCATTAATCTTGAAAGGACCTGAAATTGCAAGCAATAAACATAAGACTAGACCAGAGATGAGTGGAGAGTAGAATACATCACAAAAAGCAAGAGTCACATACTCTTCAATTTTGAGATCAGTAGTTACCAAACAACTAAAGTCACAGTACACTCTAGAACCCACGCACAGACACAACCACTAGCATTTGCACACAGATACACACACGCACAAACAAAATGGAAATGCATAATAATATGAGACAACGCTGAGTATAAGCTGAAACAAAAGTATATAGCTCAAGCAATATTAAAGAGCCGACATTTATAAACCAACTATTTATCACGAGTAAAATCACAAATTTAATTGATGATCCCAACAATCGAAGCATCTAATCAAAACGCTTACCATGCAAAAAACTCGTCAACCAAAAAGATCAAAAAACTCACCAATAATAATAAGAAGTAAAGTGTTCAATGACAAAACTTACCAGTTACAAGAAGCAACCCAGAAGGAAGCTGCTTCAGAAACACTACCCTCTTTCCCTTAAATCTACCAGCAAGAAGAATCAGCACTGTCCCAGGAGTAATGCTAGCCCTGAAGACAAAATCATTTGTCACACACAAGTTCCATGTAAAACAATTAAAAAATAAATAAAATTTAGAAGAAAAAAAAATTGAATTTTTATATAAAAAAAAGGCCAATAGTTCATTTCAACAACTACCATCTAACATTGACAATATTAATCCCAACAATATAGACCTTATTCCAAATAACATTTCAGAAATATCACCATAAGGTTAATTGAGATAAATTAAAAAAAAAAAAAAAACACAAATCAAATGAAAATAAAATGAACCTGAGCTTAGTAGGTTTGGGCTTGTGCTTGTTAAGAAGAGGCTTCTTGACATCATCAGCGGGGTAAAATTTGGGGGTTTTTTCAGCGGGAGCTTCAGGTTTAGATTTGGTATCATGGCGAGGGAAAACGCCGCCGTTTTTGGCCTTGATAGCCCAGATGCCCCTCTTGTGGTACATCTTCGACCTCGAATACTTTCCAATTCCCCTTATCAATTCTGGGTTTCTGCTAACTCTCGGTTTTCTCTGTTGCGGCGCCATTGCTGTTCCTGTTGCTGTTGCACTTCCACAAACCCTAGTTCAAGTTTTGGTTCAATCAATCCCAGCGCAAATGATAGAGCTACCTACTGTGTATTAAAATCTGTGTAAAAAGGCCTTGACCCGACTAAAAGGGTACCAGCCTCAGGCCCACGGGCCTGTTATCATTTTAGGTCGAAGCCCAGTCCAATATGTCCTTCCATTTTGTATATGCTAATATTAAACCATCAAAATTCTCTTTACGCACAATGTTACGACCACATCTTAATCGTTGATTTTCGTTAATCAACGGTTATCATTTTTTAAATCAAACTCATTAATTAATTATTAATTCTCAATAAATAATAACCGTTGATTGGCAGAAATCAACGGTTAAGATGTGGTCGTAACATTGTGCGTAACATTATTTATGTGTCACAATATCCTATCCCTTATAATTAAACCTTAATTTCATATGCTAAAATATTTTACAGAAATCCTCAAAGAGGTTGGGGAGTCTTCGCTGACCCTAGTGGAATACCGGTGTCTAACCCCACTTAAATTTTTTTGTATTAAAAATAAAAATAAAAATAAAAATATTTTACATTGTCATGCAATCATGATTTGTAAAATTTTAAGAACATATGTTATTAAACTCATTTAATGACGTGTTAATAATGTGACAACGCATCGTTTAATGATAATATAAATTTTTTATACTGATAATGTATCAAAATTAAACTCTTATAATTAATATGACAGCATAAAAGAAATACATAAAAGTAAAATTAGGGGACATTACACAAATTGGTAAAGCTTCTCTAAAGTGAATTTGTATGTAAATTGTACAAATAAAAGAGTATTTTCCTTGATTTAATTTAAAATACTTCGTAATCTTTGTCACTGTCACCTGCAAGAGAATCTCTCTTTGGTGTGTGCTGTAGAAGACAAACTCTGAAGTTGGTTGTCATGATTCAAATTTACATGCACAGGTTACATGCACCACAAAATTAACCTTCTTTACTTGTGAAAAAAAAGAGGGGGGGGGGGGGGGGGAATTATTCAGGATGAAAAAAGCTTGAAGCCCAGTATTATAACTTAAAAGAAGTAGCAAGCAATTTACAGACTTTTGCTTAATAGTTGATGAGCAACTTAAAAGCTTGGCTAATTTAAATATTATCCCAGTATGATTCATCTCAATCAAGAAGCAAAAATGCGACAGAATTAGCCGCATAACCAAACCCTTTGATTTGTAGAATCAAATTGTCTAAAACTAAAGATATAAGTGTGGAGTCACGATGGGCTGTGTCTCTGGCAATAAACCTGTGAACTTCATTATTAACTTCAATCCAACTACAACCTGGTTCTTTCACTACACCGCTCATGTCCATTTTTTCCCTCACCTTTTTGACATTTTCCCACATGCCTTTTGATGCAAAAATATTTGAAAGTAATATATATGATCCACTATCTGTTGGGTCACATGAAATTGCCATCTCAGCTGCATATACTCCCAGTTCAACATGACCTGAAAGTCTACATGCACTGAGCAGGCTCCTCCACACTACTGCTGCTGGTTTTATTGGCATCTTGTCAATAAATTCCTTAGCTTCATATATTCTACCAGCCCGGCCCAAGAGAGAAACCATGCAAGCATAATGCTCCATACCTGGTTCTATTCCAAACCGGGACATTGATTCAAAGTGATGAAATCCAAGGTCAAGAAGTCCAGCATGACTACATGCTGATAGCACACCTACAAAGGTGACATCATTTGGCTTCACTCCCTCCATAATCACATTTTCAAACACCTCAAGAGCTTTTGCTGCTTCTCCATGCTGAGCATATGTTGAAATCATGGAATTCCAACAGGCAATGTCTCTCCGATTTGCGGAACTAAATGCCTTGTTAGCCTCATCGATGCTTCCACACTTGGCATACATATCCACAAGAGCATTTGTGACAAAGGGATCATCATCAAGACCCATCTTTTTGACCTGGTTGTGAAACTGCTGACCAAGTCTCAGACTTACTGTATTACTTGCTGCCGTGATCACAGCAGCAAAAGTGAATTCATTGGGTTTTAGTCTTGACATCTGTAAATCTTTATAAAGTTTGAGAGACTCCTCATTTTCCAATTTTTGGGTGTATCCAGAAAACATTGCATTCCATACTACAATGTCTTTGTCATATATCTCCTCAAAAACTAGTCTTGCATCCCCAACACATGAGCATTTTGAATAGACATCTATTAGAGCACTTCCAGCAAAATTGTCCAAAGAAACCCCATATTTAATAATCAGGCCATGGATTTGGTTGCTTAGTTCCAGGTGAAATAATGATGCAGATAGTCCAAGAAGGCTTATAAAAGTTAATAGATTTGGTGGCAATAAACTTAGCCTCATTTCACGGAAAAGATCCAATGCTTCATACAGCTTGTCTTGTCTTGAGTATCCTTCTATCATTGCATTGTAGGATACTGCATTAATAGCAGCCATAAGGTCAAAGACTTTTCTTGCATCAGTCAATGAATCACATTTGGCATACATGTCAATCAAACCATTTTTCACAAAATCATCATTATCAATATTGGCCTTGATAGTGTAAGCATGCACTTGTCTTCCCTTTTCTAGAGTCTGGAGTGAACCACATGAATTGAGAATGCTAGTGCAACCAAATGCATCGGGCTTCCAACTCATTCTAGCCATTTCAATAAACAGGTCCATAGCATCCCAATGGAATGAATTTTGCATGCAACCAGCAATCATAGTGGTCCACGAAACAACATTTTTATCTACCAGCCGATCGAATAACTTCCTACCTGTCTTCATTTTGTGACACTTCAAATAAAAATCTATGATTCCATTGACCAATGAAACATCCATGTCAATGCCCCTCCTTAATACATATCCATGAATTTGCTTCCCCCCTTCAAGAAACTCGAGCATCGAACAAGCACTCAGAACACTGGAAATCACATATCTGTCTGGACAGACATCACCCTCTCTCATTTGATTGAATAATTCTAAAGATGCTTCACTTCTTCCCTCTTTTGAATATCCTGCTATCATTGTAGTCCAGGTGACAGTGGTTTTAACTTCTAGGCCATCAAAAAGCAACCTTGCTTCATCAATACAACCATGCTTGGCATAAAAATCAATCAAAGAGGTACCCACATAAACATCTTGAACAAATCCACCCTTAACAACTAAACCATGCACCTGGAGAGCTTGACTGAGACTACCCAATCGCGTACAAGCTGTAATGACACTGGCTAAAATGTATTCATTTGGTATCTCACTGCAAGTTCTCCTGAAAAGGCAGAACAACACCAATGCTTCTACACTGTAACCATGTTGAGTGTACATAGAAACCATGGAAGACCAAGTAACTAGGTTTCTATGAGGCATAGTATCGAACAGCTTCTGTGCATCATTTATAAGGTTCAGTTTAGAATACTTATGCAATAGAGTGTTCATAAGGAAGATATCATGCTGATGAAAACCCAAGACCACAATGTGGGCATGTATTTTCTTATAGTAATAAGGAATGGGTATGTTTGGGCATGGCAATTGCACTAAGTTGGCCAATTCACGACCAATTTTCCTTTGTTCAAGGATTGGAAGAATATATGGACCATGTGATTGAAGAAAATGTGGTGACAATGCAGAGAAGTGCAAAGTTTGGCTGACATTGATTTTGTTAAGGAATTTTAACTGGGTTCCTAGCAGTACTCGATGCTGGCTTCGCATCATAGAAACTAGTTGCATGCATGCCCTAGCTTTAGTTTAAGCGAAAACCAGATGTTTATGCCAACAAACAACTGTTTCTGTCATTTACAAATGCATCACCAAAAACTGTGTGCTATGCGTTCAAGTTGGTCTATTAAGTTTATGACTGGGTTGTATTTTGTACATAAATTTTAGGGAATGTTTAGTAGTGGAACTTTTTTGAGATTCCCGTAAAAGTGATATTGGGAATCTATTTATTCATGGTACAAGGTTTACAAAGTTATTCCGGGAATTCAATTTTTCTAAAGAATTTTATTTGTGTATAATTTGCACGGATTTCTCGTTTCTGTTGTTCTGGAGATGAGAAAAGTTGCAGTAAATATATTTATATTGGGATATTGAACTAGATCCTAGAATTAAAAAAAAAAATCTAAGATACGAAACCAGATGTTAGTAAAAATAAGTATTGCTGCAAATTTTTTGATCTGCATCAGTAGCAGAGTTATTAAAGCCAATTTGTATTCCAAAATACCATACAAGAATACCACAAATGAGATGGTATTCTTAGAATCCTTGGGAAAATTACACATTACTTTTGGTACAAAATTACCCTTGTTGTCTCGGTTGGAAGTAACTGAAAGATCTGGTATACAGAATTGAGCTAGCAATCTAAGATTCAGGATATAAAAGAGTGAAGCAACACTACAAAAGATAGTCCGAGTTTGATTCACAATAACTCTTTATGCAATTTCACCTTGTACCAATTTGTTCGGGCATGCAATATGGAAATCGAAAGTAATATTCAAGAAGATGCATCTGCTATGGTATGTATTTCCATCAAAGTTACTGTTTTGATGACCTGATTCTTGCAGAATCGGCTTCTATCATTACATGTATTTAGCTGAACTAAATGATTTGATTAATTATCTCTACGTCTTAAGTCTTATTTAGCTTCTGGTGGTTCATTTGTGGCGTTTAACAATTTTATTATGTCTTTTCTAGGGAAGGCAATTTGGGTTGACCCGTCCCGATCCGTCAAAAACGGGGTGGGGCGGGTTGGCCCGCCGTTGAATTTGGGTTGGAAAATTGAACCCACCTAATTTTATGGTGGATTGGCGTATCAACCCACCAACCTGCCAATTAATAAAATTAATTAAAATTTAAAATAAAATTATATTTTATGAATTTTTCTAATATTATTTTAGGGAAAAATGTTTCTGCAGATAAGTTATCTGCATTTATTCCTAAAACGACATCGTTTTGGTATTGAAATCTTAAAAAATTATAAATATAAAGACTATTATAATCCTGAAATAAATTAAAATTACAAAAACACCATGATTTTCGTCCCAAAACAACGTCGTATTGGGCTTACTGCAAATAACTTATCTACAGTAACTGCAGAAAAAAGCGAACCTATTATTTTATCTTATTTCGCACTTCTCTTAATTTTTTCAGTCTCAATCTTAAATGTATACTAATATTTGTCAAACATTCTTTAGGAACTCATTTGTCTCCATATATAGATAACATTTGTCATAAAAAAATTGTTATTCTTTATCTTTTATAGGAAGTATTAAGATAAAAAAAAAAAATTGGATATCATAAAAATTTAATGACAAATGAAATACAACTTAATTGTAAATATATATATATATAACCCGGCGGGTTGAACCCATTTTGACCCACTTCTAGACGGGGCGGGTTGAAGTGGGTTGGTGAGTTAAAAACCTCAACCCAACCCGCCTAGTTTTGACGGGTTGGCGGATTGACCCGTCGGACTCAACCCATATTGTCACCTCTAGTCTTTTCTTGTGATCCTGTTATGGACCTGGGAAAAGCCCATGCCAGCAAGAAGCCCAACCAGCACAAGCGCAAAGGTACATTCTATAAATAGGAGCTAAAGACCACAGGTATGACTGATCTCTCTAACCCTAGTTCATTCAAACACGACAGTGCACACACACTTCCCTTCTGGCTAAAGCCATCATATAGTGTGTAGTGATTCGTTGTCCTCAAGATACCTAATTCATAGGTATCTAGAAAGAAAGCTACAGATCCAATATCAAACACCCGACTTACGGTCGGACACATCTGCACAAGGCAGAACATTGGCGCCGTCTGTGGGGACTTTTTCCTACTACTACGTGATTAAAGGTTGCGATGGTGAGGACAACAAGAAGTGGATTTCGACAACCTTCAAGATCGAATTCCAGACACCAACCTATCCCACCAATAAGAGAGGACCCGCTGAATCATCAGCCAATTGATACGGATGCAGTCCATGTTAGTGATGTGCATTCCGATTCGGCATCAACCCCAGGCGTTAACCTGGATGCCCCATACGTGTAGGGCTTACAACCGATGGAAGACCAGATAGCAAATCGCGTGCAGGTCCCCAATGGCGAAGTTGGTGATTCGCGAATAACAGATCTGGCTATTGTTGCGGTCCTACGAAGGATGGAGGAGATGGAGAGAAGGCACGAGCTCGAGAGAGAGCAAGGTGCTAGACAGATGCCAAGTTGGAAGTTCGGCTAGGTCAAGTCTCCAACCCAAATCTGGAGTTAGCCATAACCTGGGTCATGAACGATTTGAGGATCACGAATCCCCAGAACAATGATAGGACCCAGACTCAAAGGAGGGATGTTGAAAGCTCACCTGGCTGACCTCAGAGGAACACTTCCAACCCGGTTGGTGGCCAAGGACCCCGGCAGGGGGAAGGCCGGGATGGAGAGAGAGAAACGGAAATACCGAGAGAGGCTCTCGAACGTCTGGATGGGAGCGCCCATTCAGGAACTCGGATGATGTGGCCGGGGTCTACAGGAGGAAATATCACAGGGGTCAATACAATAACATCCCCTTCGTGGACGAAATCGTGGACGCACCCTTTCCGGAGAACCTAAACTTATCGGAGACTCCTAAATATGACGGGACGCAAGATCCCCAAGTCCACTTGGATACCTTTGATACAGCAATGTATATTAAGGGAATAGAGGAACCTCTGATAATCCGGCTGTTCGTAACTACATTGACAGGAGCATCTCAAGCATAGTTTTCATCTCTACCTTCGGGGTCTATTAGATCTTTTGAAGAACTTTGAGGGAGATTCCTGCTGAATTTTGCTACGAGCAAAAAGCAGCCAAAGTCAGAGTTTGCGTTGAGAAAGATAAGACAGCAACCTGGGGAATCCCTGCAGAAATACCTAGACCGTTTTAAAATGGCCGCCCTACAGGTCCCCGGGTTATCTGAGAATGTCCACTTGCATCTGGTAATTGTCGGGCTACACGTAACCTCTAGGTTGGCTAAATCCGTGTACAAAGACCCAGTCCGAACTTTAGTCGAGTCCACTACACGGTCCAAGAAATACTTGGAGCTGGAGCAAATGGAGGTGGAAAATGCGGAGCCAAGGCAATACCAAGGCCAAGTGGAAAAACCTGGAAACCGGAAGCAAAACGACTTCCGGGGTAAACGGCCAAAAGAGAAGATTTCCTCAAAGGGGAGATTCGATAGATATGCGCCCCTGAACTCGTCCAGATCACAAATCTGGAGGGAGGTAGCATCCATTGAAATGAAGAAGGTAGATAGGCCTCGACCATTACTGAATCCAGCCGGGCTTGACCAATCTCGGTACTGCGCATTTCATGATGGCCCTGGTCACACTACTGATGAATGCTGGGATCTCATAGACTCAATTGAAAGGTATATCAGAGAGGAAAAGTTGCGTCAATATCTAATAAGAACTCAAGGATGGAAGAATAATAAGAAGAGAAGAGGAGGGCGGCCTATGAGCTCGCCACGAGAAAAGAGATTCAGAGAAGAGGGCCAAGGTAAGAAGCCGGCCAAAGAAGACGATGAGTTCGTAGAACCTGAGTTCGAATGCAATGTGATTAGCGGAGCTTTCTGTGGAGGAGGAGATACCATGAATGCCAGAAGGAAATACTTAAGGGAGGTGCTTTCAATACGAGAGCGGCCTAAATTTAAAGAAACTGAACCAGAGGCACCACTATTGTATTTCACTAAGAAAGAGTTGGAGGATGTAATGCCGGGACACGTTGATGGGTTAGTTATCACCAGAACGTTAGTCAATTGTAAAGTCAAAAAGATGTTCGTGGATAACAGCAGATGTGCCGACATAATCCTATGACAGGCATTCCAGAAAATGAACCTGGATGAAGAAGATTTGAAACCTTGCAACACGGCTTTGATCGCGTTCAATGGTTGTAACATTATCCCTAAAGGGTACATCGACCTGAGGCTTACTTTGGGAACAAAGGAGGCCTACAAGCAGAAAGGATAAGATTCATAATAGCTGATTTCCCTTCGGAATATAACGTAATCCTAGGAAGGCCAACTATCCACGATTAGGATATGCTTGTCTCGACCAAACATCAGAAGCTCAAGATGATTGCTAAGCAGAACACGGTCATCACCATTGTTGGGGATCGAAAGGAATCTCGAGACTGCTACTTCAAGTCAGTTAGGGCAGTGGGGCGTGACTTTAAAACCCTGGCCGAGGTGAACCCCAGTAGTAAGCAAGATAGCTCAAGGAAGAAGGGAAAAGCGCTAGTTAATATGGTAGAATTGGACATGAGGGATGACACTCAGATCCCGAGATCGGAACCCGATGGAGAGCTAGAATAGGTAATCATTGGAGAGGAAACTCAAGCAACCAAAATCGGAAAGGGGCTGGCGAATGAGGACAAAATTCGACTTACTGAGTGCCTAAGAAGGAACGTGAACGTCTTTGCTTGGAAATCCTCAGAGATACTTGGGGTGGACCCTCATTTTTGTTGTCACAAGCTTGCAGTATACCCAGGATCTAAGCCGGTAGCCCAGAAGAAAAGGAAGCTCAGTGCGGAACGTCGACAAGTACTGGATGATCATGTGAAGGAGTTGCTGGAAGCAGGGTTCATCAGAGAGATACAATACACAACCTGGCTATCTAATGTGGTAATGGTCAAAAAGCCAAATGGGAAATGGAGGGTGTGTACAGACTACACAGATCTGAATAAGGTATGTCCTAAAGATGCATACCTCATGCCCAATATAGATCAGCGCGTTGACAACTCATCCGGGTTCCAGATGCTATCCATTCTTGCATATTCGGGGTATAATCAGATCCCACTACACCCCGAAGACCAAGAGAAAACTGCTTTCATCGCAGAGAAGGCAAACTATTGTTAAAATGGTTAATAGTGGCTGTTGATTACTTTACTAAATGGATAGAAGTAGAACCAGTGGCAACAATTATCACGGCAAGGGTGCAGCATTTTTTCGAGAGGAACTTGATCTGCAGGTTTAGGATCCCAGCCGAGGTGGTTACCGACAATGGGACCCAATTCACGAGCAAAACTTTCCAAAAATTAATGGCAGATCTTCACATCTGGCATCGTTTTGCGTCTGTAGAACATCCTCAACCTAACGGTCAAGCCGAGGCGGCGAATCAGGTCATTATAGCCGGGTTACGCAAAAGAATAGAACAATGCGCCAAGGGGAAGTGGGTAGAAGAATTATGGTATGTGCTATGGGGGTACAGAACCACGGTGCAAACTTCTACCGGAGAAAGCCCGTTCAGGTTAACTAACGGTGTCGAGGCCATGATCCCGGTGGAACTAGGAGAACTGTCATGGCGAAGGGTCCAAGCTTTATCACAAAATGAAGAAGAAAACAATAACAAAATAGTTGTGGAGCTGGATTTGATAGATGAAGCTCGGGTCATTGCTCATTGCAAAAATGTTGTGGCAAAGCAGCTCGTGGCAAACTGATTCAACAAAAAGGTAAAGCCGCGGTCATTTGCTGTGGGAGAGCTGGTTCTTCAAAGGGCAGATATCGAAGGACGAAACGCAACTGAAGGAAAATTGGCTCCGAGATGGGAAGGACCATACAAAATTAAAGCCAAATTATCAAAAGGAGCTTATGTGTTGGAAACCCCACAGGGAAAGTAGGTCAGAAGAACCTGGAATGCGGACAAGTTGAAGAAATATTTCAGTTGAAAAGTTCCTGCTCATAAATTGTAGTTCAAATTTCAAGTTCAATAAATTGAATAAATCAAGCATATTTTTCAGAATTTCATTTCCAGAATAAATATGAGGTATTTGAACCCTCTTGCCTACGGGCAAGAATGAGTTCTAGCCCAGCTCATAATGTCGAGGTATTTGAACCCTCTTGCCTAAGGGCAAGACGGAGTTCTAGCCCGGCCAGTAACGTCGAGGTATTTGAACCCTCTTGCCTAAGGGCAAGATTGGAGTTCTAGCCCGGCTACTAACATAGAGGTATTTGAACCCTCTTGCCTGCGGGCAATACGGAGTTCTAGCCCGACAATAAACATGGGCCATTTAGGCCCGTCTAAGCCTAAGGGCAAACTATGAGTATATGTCAAATTGAAAGCATTGCAACCAACCTTGCCAAAATGAGCAAGGGTGGCGTGCTAGCCTAGCGAGTTAAGGCGGGAAATTAGGGGGACACCCTTAATTCCCTAACGTCCTTACAAAAAGAAGCTAGTCAAACAACAAATACAAGAGTACATCAACAAGGGCACAAAGCCAAATTCCCATTAGCAATTAAAAGAGTCTAAAAGCAGGAAGGGTTCTTAAAGTAATCATAAAGCAAAAACGCAGCAAATTACAAAGTAAACCGGCATTACGACTCTTCACTCTAGACCATCATTATGCATTATTTCCCGCATCTCGGCCTCGAACTCGGCGCCAGCTACCTCTATCCCCGAAGTAATCCCAGCGGCTTCTACCCCCGAAGTGATCCCAGCTTGAGAGGTGCTACTTTCTGGCATGTTCTGATTAGCTGAAGGAGGGGGGAAATAAACCCCACCACGAACGTAACCAAAGCAGTCCAGCTGATCGAGCTTCAAGGGAAATTCAGGATTAAAATACCTTACCTGGTTAACACCATTTTTAAAGGCACTTATGGCGGCCTTTTCGAGAGCAGATCGGTTAAAGTCATAAGCAGTTTGCAAATTCTGAAGATCCGACTTCAACTTGTCATTTTCCGCAGACAAACCAGCAACCTTTGAATCCTTCTCTTTCAGAGCGTTTGATTGTTCTTTGAAACGATTTACAATGCTATCTTTATCAGCGGTCACATTGAGGGAGTCAGAAATAAACTTCAGGTATGCCCGTGAGTTCTCCAAAGAAGTCTTCAATTCAGCAGCATTGTTGGTTAACTTCTCATTGTCAAGAACAGCCTGGTCGTGCCTCATCCGGATCTCGCCAAGCTCCTCCACATTTTCGGCGTGTTTTTCCAGAAGCAAGGAATATGGTTTCACTAACGAAGCAATCTTGAAAGTATACAATTCTGCCTTCTGGAGCTTTTCCATCTCGGCTCTCGAGATAAGTCCGGAGCCAGAAAACGCAGGAGGAGGACGGACAACACCCCTAAGCTCGGCAGTTACCCCAGAGTCCCATAATGCTCCCCTCCTAAGTTCAGCTGGGAGAGCGACTGGAGCAGGGGTACCCCGAGGAAGAATGATCACGACATGTGTGCCACCCTCACTAGCTGAAATCGGTGAAGCTAGGTTTGCATCAGTTTCCATATTCTCGCAGTCATCAGTGAGATCCAAAATGGAGACGCCAGAATTGAATGTCGGGGTGGAAGTAGCCGCAACCGGGCTGATCGTTCTTGGTCTTTTTGAAGGTGGTGGTAATAAGGCAGAAGTTTGACCCGTCAATGACAAAATATAATCCGGCCCCAGTCCTTCTTCCTCCAGGTCAAAATTCATGTCGGAACCTGCTAAACAAAACCAAAGTTAAAACAGTGGTAAGAAAATAGCAAAGCAACAAGAAGTTAAAAAGTATACTGGGGGGCTCCGGGTTGGAATGCGATTTAGCTACCAAAGAAGCTGCACTCAGATGACCTTGGGAACGCTCATGCTCCAACAAAGTCTTACAGTTGGTTTTATCCTCAAATGATAGCCTTAGTTTGAAGTCGGTTGGTTTGCGGATATGATGCTCTTGTGACCAATAGAGGGGAAAGACGGGCTCCCCGCTATCACCAATAAACCATGACTTTTTCCCAACCTCGGTCACCACTTTGAAGAAATAAGCTTTGATGTCTTTGAAAGACTCACTATACACGAAAAATAGCCTTCTAGGCGGCTTGCTAGCTCGGCTTCGAATACTCGTCCATCCCTTAAGTTCAGGAGGCTCCGAACTAGTGCGTTGGGTATAAATATTGAAAAAATACATGAACAGAGGAACAGTGCACGACAGAGATAAGGAGGCGCACAATTGTTCAAACGTAACAATATAAGCCCAACCGTTAGGGTGAATCTGGGTTGGGGCAAGTAGTAGGTGGTTCAAGAGCTGCATTTTAAAAGGAGAAAAGAGAAATCAAATCTCAATCTTCGTCACGAGATCACGGTAGAAGAAGAAGAAGAAGGGCTTTTCAGGGTTCCGCCCTGAACAAACGGGTTCGTCATCGGCAGGAACGAACGTGTTAAAATCAACCGGGTTTCCGATTGGAAGTCTAGAAACTTCCTCGGTAGACATCTCGGATGCAAAGCTCAGCACCTCATCTGTAACCCAGGAATATTGGGTGCGAAGATTATCAGTAACAGGTGCAGAACCTTTCTCATCCGGATTCGCCTCGGCCTCCTGACCTCGTCTGGTGGAGGTAGTATCGGCATTTAACTCTGTAGAATGGGACTCCATAAATACCTAGAACAGTAAAATGGGAGGATTAAAAGGAAAGAAAAGCACGTAACAAAGATATATACCCAGATTAAACAGACTAGAGTCGGAAGAGCTGGAGTCATCAGAGCCGACAACACGAGCAGGGGTGGTAGAACCCGAAACGTGTGAACAACTGCCTAAAACTAGATCGGCCATGAAGTCATTTCCCTTCTCAACAAACTAAGCACTGAGATAAATACCATTGAAACAGGGATCTACACTCCTAGTACTCGATTGAGTAGGAACTCTCGAGAAAGGAGGAAGAGAAGTAGGGGTCAAGTTTGGAAGAAGGGGATTAAAAGTCGGATTGTGAACAGGACGTATAGATGGAGCCCCCAAACCATCATGACGGGCTCCATGATCCGGGATATGTCCCCGGGCTGGAGGACGGGAAGAAGATACTCTGCCTCGGATATCCCTCCCTCGACTGCGGACCAAAGGACGAGATGAAGACGCCCATCTACTCCCGCTTCCTCTATATCTTCCTAATAAGGCGGCTTGGGTTTCCTCCTCGGTTCGAGGCCTACCATACAGCCAATACCTTGGACCAGGAGGTAAACTTTGAATACACCTTTCTTCTTCCTCAGCATATCTCCCCTCCTCCTCGGTTAGG